TGTTACGACCCCTTCTCTAATCCTTTCGAATTAGTCAGGGAATCGTAAACAAGAAGAAGAAAATAAAAATAAATAAACGCCAATCTCAGTGATTTCTATTTATTGCCACAAAGTACAACACCTAACGTTAACCCGCCACCACATTGAACACAAAGAGAAAAATACACAACTATCTACAACAACTAAAGTCCTTAGTCCGACTACCCTACTTGTCCCTAACGGTATATCCTAATCTAAATCTAATACATATCGTCCACTAGCTCACCGAGACGTCCCATCGTCTCCTCACTCTACCTATCCGAGTCGAGTCCGTGTGTGTCTGTGTGTGACTCGTGAGTGTCCCCAGTCCGCCGTCTACCCCTCCTAAAATAGTCCAGTCAAGGTGCAGGGGTCTATGTCCTGACTTAACCTCTTGTACAATAGGGCATCCCCTTACGGCTTCTCCCCACATTTACACACCAGGCCAGGCGATTCAGGTGAGAAGGGGGGGGAGGTAACCTGCTAGCATCAACAACAACATCCCACCCTTTGTCTATCTCACGACCTCCTGCGCCAGTCCGTGTCATCTCTCATTACGGGCTGGCCCGACCACGAAAAAGGGGGTTCACGTCGAGAGTTCCCCCCCCCCCCCCGTCCAATCCATAAATCTCTAGATGACACCCTGATTAACCCACGTTCAGCCATGTCCAAACAAGGTAAGATCCCCCCATGGGATCGTAACAATATTTTATAACAACCAGTGACTTACCTGTCACACATGCCATGATTTACCTGTCACACCTGTTACCTGTCACACCTGCCATAATTTATCTGTCACATCTGCCATGATTTACCTGTCACATCTGCCATGATTTACCTGTCACACCTGCCATGATTTACCTGTCACACCTGCCATGATTTACCTGTCACACCTGTACGATTTACCTGTCAAACCTGCCATGATTTACCTGTCACACCTGCCATGATTTACCTGTCACACCTGCCATGATTTACCTGTCACACCTGTACGATTTACCTGTCAAACCTGCCATGATTTACCTGTCACATCTGCCATGATTTACCTGTCACACCTGCCAAGATTTACCTGTCACACCTTTACGATTTACCTGTCAAACCTGCCATGATTTACCTGTCACACCTGCCATGATTTACCTGTCACACCTGTACGATTTACCTGTCACACCTGCCATGATTTCCATGTCACACCTGCCATGATTTACCTGTCACACCTACCATGATTTACCTTTCACACCTGCCATGATTTACCTGTCACACCTGCCATGATTTACCTGTCATACCTGCCATGATTTACCTGTCATACCTGCCATGATTTACCTGTCATACCTGCCATCATTTACCTGTCACACCTGCCATGATTTAATTATCACACCTGCCATGATTTACCTGTCACACCTGCCATGATTTACCTGTCACACCTGCCATCATTTACCTGTCACACCTGCCATGATTTACCTGTCACACCTGTTACCTGTCACACCTGCCATGATTTACCTGTCACGCCTGCCATGATTTACCTGTCACATCTGCCATGATTTACCTTTCACACCTGCCACGATTTACCTGTCACACCTGCCATGATTTACCTGTCACACCTGCCATGATTTACCTGTCACACCCGCCATGATTTACCTGTCACACCCGCCATGATTTACCTGTCACTCCTCCTGACGAAGTCGGTGACCTAGCCGCAATGACTGGTTCGACCTGGGCTAATTAAAAATGTTTTGAGTTTTTCCTGACCTAGATGACATTGCCGAACTCTACTTTACCTGTAAAAACTCACGTTACCTGTGACCTGACAGTAGAATGGCATGTAGCCTTTATAAGGTAAAAAGATAAAATTATAAATGGAACTTATTAAACATTGTGATTGTATTACTTAGCTGATTAATTTTTGCAGACGTTATTTGATGTAATTTAAATATATACTGTAACATAAACATAATTCAAAATTGATCATGTTGTCTAATTTGGATTCTGGCTTTTGTATGATAAAAATAATTCATTAAATCAACGAATACACTAAAATATTACTATAAAACAACGAATATGAGGATTTAACACTGAAACAATTGTTTAACCTACCTTAAGACCATTCTCAAAGCCCAGGAAAAATTACGCACATTTAAGTTTCTTCAGCTGAATTAAATTATTAGATAAAGTAAACATAATTCAACACATACATATAAACTCAATTTGCTGTACTGCAGCACTCAACACATTACGTTTGTTGATAGTACAAATAATGTTTATTTACATCCAGGATTTACGGTGTGTTTGTGTTTCTCGTTTTCTAAGAGAATGAGAACCAGATGTGCATTTGTTTACAATAGGATGCCGTGAGTCATGTTTCTAAAAATAAAAATAAGATTTCCCGATAATTTTGATATGTTGCAGATGATTATCAATAAAAACCCGTCTAATAACTAAGTGCGAACATTATATTCGTTGCCTAGCTTTAGATTAGAAATATGTAAGTCCCTGAAAATACAGTACAACGACTTTTTTAGTATTCAGAAATGATAAATTCTGCAAACTACTTAAAATATTGTGTTTTGAATGTCTAGATAAAACAAGTAAGGGATAAAAGGTATGGGGGTAGGCCATATAATATTCGAGACCTGTGATGCCTACCTATAGTCTAAAGACTTGTAATTTATGTATCTTTAAAAAGCTGTTGTATTTGTACATTTCTCAGTAGGTCTTTAAAATTTGAACTGAATTAGCAGTCGGCCTTCACCTTGAACTACCCTTCACAAAAGTTTCCTTTTTACTGAATCTTTCCCTGCTCTAAGTGTGAGGTTCAGACTCTCTAATGACGCGTGTCTCGCTTCAACTCTTCTTGCTCACCGAGACGTTCTAGGTCTCCAAACACTAGTTCGGTAGCCTGGCTACAAGTAGTTTCTCACACACACTCCCCATCCTCCACCCATCTTCCAACCATCCTCCATTCATTATCACCATCCTTCGTGTAGCATTCTAGTCCTTCTTATCATCATCATCATCATCATCATTCCTCTGTGGCCCCTGGGGAGCAAAGGGCTACAACTTCTTACATCCTCTCAATTCAACCATCAATTTATCCTTCACCTATCCAGACCCATTATCCACACCCCATTCACCATCAATATATCTAACAGCACCTCCCTCCTCTCCCTAATTAAACCAACACTCCTCCTCATCTCTATCGACCCTCCTCATTTTCCTCCCATCCCGCCCATCTATTCTACCTCCCTGTAACCTCACAACAGCCACCCTCTTCTCACCATCCCTATATTCCACCCCTCCCCCATCTTCCATATTTTCTATATTATAGTTAACGTCCGCATACAAACTTTCACTGGAAAATCCCCCCCCCCTCCCTCTTTTTATACCCTCCACCTCCATCCTCCAAGTTCCCCCATTCTCACCACATTCCCTCCCTCTTCACCTATCTTCGTCCGCCCACCCCACCTTCCCTTTTCCCCCACCCTCCACTAGAACTAAAACTTCTCAAGTGCTGATAATTAAATAGTCGTTAACACTAATCAAGATCAGGTAAAATAAGAATCCATTTCCAGGTATTTCGGGACCATTTGCCGGTAATTTTAATGCCGGGACTCAATCCTTTTCCCGTCTGTACCTACAAAGCAGGGGCGTATCTAGTTTATCAAGGTGTGTGTGTGTGTGGGGGGGGGGTGTCCAGCCCAAGGCATCACTTATACACAACTTAAATAGACTGTTACGTAAACAAGTCTCTTTCCTCGTGGCAAAAAGGTGTAACTCGCCCCAATTTACCACCTTGTAAAACCACTTTTACATGTTGAAAATATAAACTATTCCCCCCCCCCACTCCCTCCGCATTCCTTCAGCTTCTATGCTTTCCATGGATAACTGCCCTTTGTGGAGGGCTATAAATAGATTTTATAAGATATAAACACTACGCAATAAACTTTTCAATAGAATAGATACTCACAAATCGTCGTATTTTAAACTTTTCACTAAAAGCTTAAACTTTTTGATGCGGTAAACGAATAATAAACACTTAGCGAACGTGTGGGGTATAAAACTTTATAACTGCTCAGCACACTGGGGGATTATTTTTGGAAGTGTAAGTTGGATTTTGGAATGAAAACAAAGATGTGTCGAACATTTATTTATCCACGTCGGTGTGTGTATGTGTTTGTGTGGAGATGCGTGGGTGAACGTATGCGTTTTAGTGTGTGCATACGCGTATATGTTTGTGTCTTGTTGTCTGAAGGTGTTGGCGTGGTCGAGTCGGTAAAGCTCATGGTTGCTAAACCGATTTGTTACGAGTTCGGACCCTCGGGCAGATGAGGCGCGTTTGATGAGAGCAGCCATGAGAGACAACTCCAAAATTAAAACTTGTAGTTTGTTCTTTTCATAAATGTATGTAGGTCTTTATGGTCTACTGAAAATGTTGTTCATTTTGTTGTTTGAGAGCCACACTCGAGACTTATGAGTTAACAGACGAGTGCTCAACCACCCGACCACGCCGTTCCATCTCTCCGTGTTATATTACCATCATAGTTTACGTTTATTAAAGTACGACTGGACATGACGTCTGATAAAAAAAAAATGACGTGATAAAATGTGAGCTTCACACATCGCTAAAACACAATCGTCTATATCGGATAAAACGAGAATATCAACAACAGATTTTAATTTGATTTTATGTCCCCGGCCTTACGTGCACCGTATTCGATACGATTTTTTTTTTAATTATGAAAAAAAAACAAAAGCGAGACAGAAATAAAACCAACCCCCACCTCCCCCTCCACCCCCACCCCCTCCCTGCTCTCTGTAATAAACGTAACGACGGGTGACTTCTGCCTCCACGGCATGAGCCGAGGAGATCTCGCGAGAGAGTTAGTTACGAGATCTGACGGCGCGCCCCCCTTCGCCTGTATGACGCTGGGGTTTATTTTTGTCTTTTTTTTTTTTCCACGCAGCGCAAGACGCGTCGCGCGTAGCTGGCGACCACGCGCTGGCTCAGCCGTTGAAAGCGACGGCAGGAGTGTAGAAAACCAGTAGCAGTCCCAGGAAGGTTTTAGCACTGCTCTGGAATCGGGGTGGATGTGCTGAGATTGGAAATTCTCCCACACTCGCGTCGTAGTGCCAGTGTTGTATTGTTCTATGTCAGCCCCCCTTTAGCAAGGGTGTGTTTGTTTATCTAGCGCCCGAAGTGTGTTAACATACTCGTGTGTAGTTGCAGATATTAAACGTTTATTTCATATCTCTGGATTTATATAGCAGCTAAAACTCAACAGTAATTCATTAATATTGGGTAAGTTTATTTTGTTGAATAACTTTGTTTTTCACAATAATATTAGGGTTATTTGTTTTATTTTGAAATAGTTTATTTAACGGTATAGTCTACTACTAAATAACAATATAAACTGACTTAACTATGACTACTGTATTGTCTCTACATAAAATACACGCCATATCTGTTGAAAATAGCTTGGGCAATTTAACAACATTGTATCACTTTACGTTTTAGTCTTAAATAAATTCTCAATTATTTTAAAGTGGTTAGTTCATATAGTTGTATTAAAGTGGAACTATTATTTTTTGTACGTAAAACATTTAGCAGATTAGGTTAGTAGGAGTAACAGTTCCCCATTATGGTTTATTTTAGTAGGTGAAGTAGAGTTTTCAGTCTCTTTTGAGATAGAATATAGATCTATGTGTTTCTTTAAGGTTTTCTTTAAAGTGGGGGCATAGACTTGTGGATATATTATATGTGAAACTGTGTGGTTTGGTGTGGTGTTATGTGGGTGTAGAAGTTAATAGAGCACTTGAGTAGTAGGAATTGTTAGAGGGGATTGGTTTCACGAGTTGGTGGTGATATGTGACAGTTTGATATGACAGTACGGCATGACACTAAGAGCTGTCAGTGATATGTGAGAGTATGATTTACCTGTGACATGATTTGGTTTCCATATGTCACAAACTGTAAGCTGTCATTGATATGTGATAACACGCGTTGTCAGTGATATATCGTGGTAGACATTTTAGTCATGAGATGGCAGGCAAATTAGTCACGTCGTTGTAGTCATATGTACGGCAGCTCTCAGTAAACGGTATAAAACGTTTATTAAACGAGCGTTTCCAATAGTTTTTTTAAAGTTTCTTGTTTTGGTGTCGTTGTTACATTTTACGTGGCTAGTCAAATGGTTCCTGACGAGTTTTAAAAAAATCTTTCGCTGTTTCTATTAAAAGCCTTGATAAAAATCAAGTAATAAAATCCTACCCCTTTAAGCATAAGAATCTTTTTTTTTCTTTTTAATAATAATACTTATAAAACCTAATGAACACAATATATACATACATGTTCAATTTGATATTTTTTAAATGAAAAGCTTCGCCTATTTTAAAAACCAAATACTGTACCCATCTAAATAAAGGTACCCATTTAAGCTGAGTCGGCTCAGACAGGCATACTTAGATTAGCACGTCACGTGATCCAAGAGCTCTGACAATATTAAAACCACGGGTTGGTGAGTAGACTGAAGAGTTAGCCCCCGATCGTGCACGGCTTACACGAAATGTCTATTAGCCCGGGACTGAGTCCTCACCAATGCTCGCTATACGCACGTGCGCTCCTACATTGTCTGGTGCAGAGAAAATCTTTTCTTAAACACCACAAAGACGGGGGTTGTCCTCTTAAGGTTGGGTCAAGCGGATTTTACTTTGGTCATTTCTTTTTGATTTCCTTAACACCTCATCAGATTGTCACTCCCGTATAGCAGATACTATCTGAAAGGGCTTTTCCTCAATGATGTGTAGTTAAGTGTATCCTATTCTATCATATCCTATATCCGATGCAAATACTGTCATGTTACATGCGCTCTATATTCTATCCGATGAAAACCAAAATTTACAATGTGTTTTATCCTATTTACATATGATAGGTATCCTATCCTAGTCTATCCTACATCTGATAAGTATTATATCCTAGGTATTCTTTTCTTTCATATCTTACCTGTAGTATGTTTACTATCCTAATTACTTTATATCATAACTCAGATAGGTATGCTATCTGAGTATAATATTATTAGCCTAAATATCATATCCTATCCTACCTAAGTGAGATATTTTATCCTAATTGATCGTACCTCAGCTAAGTATAGTATCCTAAATATATCAGCTGTGAACATTATCCTAAAAATCCTATCCTATCCTATCCTATCCTATCCTATCCTATCCTATCCTATCCTATCCTATCCTATCCTATCCTATCCTATCCTATCCTATTCTATCCTATCCTATCTTATTCTATCCTGTATCGTGTAGGTATTTTATCCCATTCTATTGAACCTCCCCCGTGTATATTTCACTATCCTACCTCAGCCCTGAACATTATCCTAAATATCTTATCATATACAACCTCAGTAAAGTATTTCATACTATTTATTCTATTCAACCTCTGTCATTTATCTTTCACTATCCCACCTCTGCTGATTATATTATCCCAACCCCTTGAGTTTGTTCACAAGAATCCACCGTTCACATTTCGTCCCCCTCATATGAACTCAAAAAAAGTTCAAAGGACAGACAGACAAGCCGACAGTGTAGCTTCGTCAGGGGTCATCGCTTTTCTTACCTACAAAGGTCATCAGTCATGCAGGTCATACGAAGCTAATCCCTTGTTTAAAGCCATGCGCCACTTTTTAACCCGTGAAAGTTAATGTGTAGCGATCTCGAAACTTTAAAAAAAAAAATGTTTTAAAGTAGGTAGTTAGCCCTAGACCTGTTAGCATTGAGATATCGGTATCGATTACTGCATGTGGCTTAGATTGAACTTCGATACATGCTTGACATTGAACAAGACGGCACGTTATATCGTTATAGTATTGATTATTTTGTCAGACAGCTAAAAATAGCCGTTTAGTTTTTTTTTAATATTTGAATTCTCTTCTGTGTGTAGTTTTTAAACTTAGTTTCAATTTCAAGAAAAATGGTGGCTGTTTTACTTGACTAGTTTATTGGTGTTTAGTGTGAAATGAATTAAAAAAATAATCTTAATAAATATAATATATAATAAATATGTAGTATTTGTATGTGTTAGCACATACATTTGTGTGATCTTCCTACGCCACTGAAGACGCTTTATAAATTGAAACATATAATAAATGAATTCGTTATTATTATGTAAACCGCTTTATACATCTTTAGTAGACACAAATGTACGCGTTATATGATGCTTGAAATAAATAAAGGTTCAGCCAGTTGTAACTTCTTATTCATTTAACTTTTAAAACAGAAAAAAAAGAAACATACGAAAATAATAAAAAAAATTACTTATAACCCGTTATAATATAATATAAGCAAATATTAAACCGCCTTTTAACCAAGTATGTGTTATGTGGCTATTTTAAAGTCACTATGTATGACGTTATGTTCGAACCCCACCCCTTCACATCCCCTCCCAAAGACATTTGTAACAAAAATCGTTACTGTATCTAAATAAGGCCGCTGTGTTGTTTCATGACCTATTTCTATCCCACCCAGTACATGCCCAGAACAATGGCTGCTTTTCATTTCCTCCAAACGGTATCTAGGCAACCGAAGACGCCCACCATACACCGTCAACCTTTGTATGAGTTACCCAACTAGCTAAAGTAGAGCAGATCTGATAGGAAACACGGTCTGTAGTGCCAGTGTACTTGATCAGTGCATGTTTATATGGAAATTGTGTAAAGTAGGTTGCATGCACGTTTCTTTAGTATAGTATTTCAGTTCATCCGTGAATGGAAATATTCTACAGTACTCGGAACTAAGAATACTAGTAGTGGCGTCACAATGGGGAGAGGGGTGCGTTCCGAACAGGGTGACACTATTTAAGGGGGAGAGGGGTGAATTTAAACCGCAAATGTAAAATTTGTGGATGGGGGTGTTGTGACACCATCGGGTGACACGTGACCTAGTGACGTCACTAGTGTACTAGTTCAGAGCACTTTTCGAAGGAAGTACAAATAGTACTTATCACTAAGACTAGATCAGTGCATGTTTAAAAGGAGACACCCAATAGCTGGGTTTCTTTCAGATATTCTTTGCGAGGGGGAGGGGCAATTAAAACAGTAGAGGGGGGGGGGGTGAGGGTTAAAACTTAAAATTTCCGGCGGGGGGAGGGGTTTGGTTTGGGACGTACATTGGATACATTTTATATTTCTTCTGTTTTTTTCCGGGTAAAGGGGGGGGGTGGAGTGGTTTAGTTGCTGAAAGACATTCTGCTCCATAGTACTAGCACTAAATGCGCTACGATGAACGCAATGAAAACGGACAAACATTAAAATATCTACCGCTGTTTTTACGCGCGTCTTGTTTATTTTTTTTATTACGTTAACAAGCGACGTCGGCTAAAAGCATATACGCATCCATAACCAACAAGCTTTCAAACATAAAAAAAATGAAAATAAATTAGACAAAAGAATCGATTTTTTTTACAGAATGGCAGAGAAAATAGGACAGACAATTACGTAATTATACAGGTAAATACGTTCAGGATGAAAGATGATGTAGGCGAGATGTTGGCTGGTTTTAAAGAAAATTGTTCATTTAGAAGCTCTTCATTTCTCAAGTATAAATTAACTATTGTTGTGGATTTAGGTTATCGTGTGAAGAAAAAAAAATACATTCGACCTCAAACTAGAGAAACTCCATTAGATTAGAATTGTTTTTCTTCTTTTTTCTTCATACTCCAATACATACAATGAAGTATTACTCGTCAACTTTTTTATGTGCAAGATAGGTCGTTGCCTCCGATTTTAGCCTGCTTTTCTTTTTGGATTTGCTTCCATAGCCTTTGTCCAAACTAGAACAAACTACAAGGCAGCAGGTGTTTTTTTTTTTTTTTTTTGGAGTTGTCTCTCCTAGGAGAATGAATCTCCTTATCTAGCCGAATGTTCGAACTCGAAATTTATCGGTTTAGCAACCGTGAGATTTGCCGATTCGACCACGCCGACCCGAAAATATGGGTGATAAAAGAGTAGGCAGATTAGTATATACTAGTAAGTTAGTGACAATGTGACTAATAAGTCCACAGGAAGTTAAAAACTATGGGAAACTTCGAGTGTCTGTAGTCACGAAAGTTTGTCTTATTTTAATCATCAGATATATAATTAAGTCAAGTGGCTCTTACTATTTTAACCAAGGTCCTCATTAGAGCTTAAAGCCACTTGTAATTAGATTCAGATTAACCTGTATGTATTTTCGACTACAAAAATTATGTGTTAGCTAAATTAAACGATAATGGTATTACGGTCTGTTAATTATCTCTGT